CTTAAAATCTGATACACATTTTTAGCTGTGAAACAGACAGTTTTGTGCACATCCCTGTGGCTGATGCATTCTCCTATAAATAAGATTTGAAGCTTAGGTAGGCCAATCAACACGAGTCTCAAAGTTATTCCTTAAAAACAACCAAATGTAAGGTCAAAAAGAAAACAAAACCATCACCTCAAATATTATCAGTAGAGGCCAATTGTGAGAATTTTTGAAATTTATTACAATACAATTTTGAAATCAAATATTATTTAAGATCTTGCCAACCTATGATGCTCATGAAGGATATCTGAAATCTTTAATATATATATACTTTTGCTGCCTAAACTGCATCTTCGTATTTTTGTGGGAAAATTATTATTTAGCCAGAAATAAGAAACAGGCTCAGAACTTAATTTCTTTAACATACAGTGATCATATTCCTTTTTATTTTACTCAAATTGGTTATTTAAGTTGATATTATCTTAGGAATTATCTGTATCCAATTCCTGGATATGTAAAATAGCAAGATGAATTTCTTCACACCAGTAATATCAGAGAATACCTATGTGCACTTTATTAATTTAATATAAAAAATTCTAAATTCAGTTCTCTTCACACCCAACCTTTAGAAAGCACAGTATGATGTCCTGCTGTTTTCTGATGTGAAAAGAAGATGTGAGGTGCATTGCCAGAGTATTGCTCCAAGCTGGGCAGACCACATGCATAATCAGGTTTAAGATGTGAAGAAACATAATAGTGATGCAAAGAGAATCTTGTTCATTAAGAAATCACTTTGAACATGCTCATAACATTTATAAGCAGCTGTTGAGTCCCTGTAAATTATGTTGGCTGCTTAGACTGTTGCCAGGTTATTCCTGCAGACTAAGACTGACACTGCAGATGTTTCGTATTGCCATATGTTCTGTACTTTTAGACAAAGATGAGGATGTCTTCAAAATCAGAAAAATTCAAAATCTTATTAATATTCCCTTAACATTAGTATTTTGTATCTTGAGACTATTTTAGTGCATTAAATACTTTTTATACTGTTTAATGCTGTTTCTAGTTAGAGCAAAGAAAGTAGCAGTGAAGGTGTAAACATCACCATTTGAAAATGAAGAATGTCAACCATTTTCTCCAAGAGTAAAATGCACTTATATAACTTTCCTCCAGAAATCTTTTGGGTAAATAATAACTGTATCATGACTGTGTACACATTTCAATAAATCTAGGTAACTATAAATCCTGACACAAAAAAATACATACAGATTTATCAATCAAAATTCAATTTCAGTCAAAACTATATGAGTTTTTTAAAAGCAAATTGTAGTGATTGAGATTTATAGCTTCTTTCCATTTCAAAGGCCAGTTGTTTTGGTCTGCATATTCACTAGAATTCAAAATATCTCCCCAAACTGAAGAAAGGAGACAGAGTTTGGGTGCAATATATAGTAGGTGTAGTCTGTTAGAATAACTGAGGAGAAATAATCAAATGCATATTATAACTATGACAGTAGCTTTTCTGGAAGAAGCCATACATAAGTGTTTTATAACAGAAATTAACAGAAACCTGTGTGAAAACTAGAATCAGGTGTGCTAGAGAAAATTCAGACTATTTAGATACTGCTATATCTCATAGATTCTGCTTTTATTCATTTAAAATACTGCCTTGCACTTAAAGAACAAAAGAAACTGTAAAATTATGTGTCATTTTCATGACTCTAAGTTGCTATTTTCACCAGTAACTCCATTTTCTTCCCCACTGGATCATTAGAAGATAAATCAAATTTAGCAACTCTAGTAATTAAAAACTGGACTTAGGTGGTCAAACTAATTTACAAAGTAAGTGACAAGCTAAAAGATTTTGTTTGTCTAGGGAAAATATTTATTTTAAGAATGAAAAACAAGTACAGCCTGCTCTATATAGAATGAAAGTTATTAAAGTAGCCACAAGATAAAGAAAGGTGTTCCTGACCCATTTTTACTCCACTTTTCATTTTTCATTCTTATTCTTCATTTGCTTCTCTTTCCATGAGCTGCTCCAATAGTTTATGCATCTATTGAATGTAATAGTTAAACTACTTCTTGCACAAAAGTACTTTTCAAGTGACTTACATTAAAATACCTAATGTCATCTGAAAGTCATGCATGTAACCTCTCAGTGACAAACTGAAAATTGCTACATATTCACGACAAAATAGGAAAATGATGCCTTGGATACACAATTTTATTATTTTTTCCTATTGCCTTTAGATATCTTTTGAGGACCTTTCATTAACAACAAAGATACTCTCCTCTGCTGTACAAAGAGTTCTCTTGTTCATTTGTTTTATTGCTATAAATCTAACTTCCTACAAGACCATTATGTGAATAAGACATAGCTACTAGTGTGGTCATGCAAAAAAACCCCTCATTTTAATTTGTTGTTCTTAAAGTATATGAAATTTTATAATATTTTTTAATATTCTGTTTCTCTTTATAATGTTTATTTGGCATGTAATAATATAAATTGCTACCTTTGGAAGGACAAAAAATGAAACCCTAGTGTATGAACATATTTGTGTCCTATTCTGCCCCAGATTTGGTCATGCTGAAGGAAAAATTGACTCAGCTATCCCATTCTGACAAGTCCTTTTTATTCCTTGCATTTAATATCTAGGGAGATAGAGTTTTCTTCTTTTAAGGTCAGATGTCATACATTCGAGCCTTATCTTCTGCTATCAAAGCTGTTAGTGCTGTCAGGTCTTCTCCATGTTTCAGCATTGGTGTGCAGTGCTCCCATTAAATATTGTGTACATTGCCCCCTCTGGGAATTGTGATTCCTTTTATTCAGCATGCCTTGCACTGTAAATGTCATCACTGTGTATGTGTCTATGACACTTCTGTTTGATGTCTCATGAGGTAATGTCCTTTTTATCTCACATTTATCTACAGCTCTTGTTAAAATTATTCCTTCAATTAACTCAGGAAAGAGTACAAAGTTGAGCAGGCTGGTTTAGGATATTGGATGACAGCTGTAAAACAGGATTCCATGCTCTTGGAAACTCCATTTAACTAGTGCTTATTAGATTAACAACTGTTAAAAGGACAACTTTAAAATTACTTACAAAGCCTTTTTAATATGTTTGCATATTCTGATCATGTGGTTTGTTTTCTATTTGAAAATGATACATTATTTCCCAGAAGCAGAAACCTGTTACTCCAACTAATTCCAGAGAATGCATCAGAAATAAATGTGTTTTGATTCTACATTTCTCAACCTATACCCTTATTTTCAAAGCTCCAAAAGTAAGTCTGTATTTCTAGTTTTTGGGCTTTTTTTTATTTAAGCAAGTCAACAGTTTAACTTTGAAAATAAACACACAGTATGAAGAATGCAAATGGTATTATTATCTGAGTCATAAGATCACCTCACAACAAAAACACACACAAAAATTACCTGTACCTATATTACAGTACCAAGTAGTAACATGGTTCACATCACAATACCAAATATTCCATGAGGCAAATTGAACATTTTCTCCAGGATTTCATATTTTATAATTCATCAAAACTTGACTGTTACCAGGTGAAAAAAAAATACCAGAACAACAAAAAAATGATGTCTCAACCTCCAAAATAAGAGATGAGCAGTCTGAAATACTATTTTAAGAGTAGCAGGTAATAGCAGCTCCTTCCTGAATCCCAAGAAACTCACCCAAGTCATCTGCATTCCTTACTTACCCTGGTCCTGCCCGTTACGCCTACAAAGAAGCTGAAAAGAGCTATCATATCCAGTGACAAGACTGTGCTTTGAATTCCAGTACACACAAATTATAACACCTCAAACATTTCAGGTCTTTTGGAGTTGTCTGGAATAAGGTTTTTCCTAGTTCACATAGTCCTACCATTACTCGAATGTTGAGTTAAATTGTTGGTTACCATTACTTGAAAGTGACAGTGCAAAAAAAAAGGGATTTTTTTACTCTTTTTTTAACAGCTTTTAACAAGTTTATTATCTTTGAATTCCATTTAGCATGATAAAAGTACTCTTTTTTAATGAACATTCTGTTTACTCCTTTAATATAATCAGTTTTATCTACTGTAATTAGGAATTTCTTAATAAGTTTCTGTAAGAATTCTTAAAAGTCAGTTGATATAATTTTGAATGTTTTCAATTCCTTCCAATTAAAAAGGTTAGGGGATGTTTTTAATTTTTTTTAATTTATTTTTAAAGTGTTACTATTTTCACTTGTATTAATTTTTCAAAACCCTTCAGGAAACAAAAATTCACTAGAACTGGGGTCATGTTTTGAATTCATGACAGACAAGCTTCAACATGTTTTTCTTCTTAAGCTGTTATCTGACTGTGAAAGATCACTTCTTAGATCACCAGCTCCTAGAGGCTTTGAAGACTGGTTTTGGGTTGTTTGGCATTTGTACTAGTGGCAGTAGTACGGAAGACATTGCTTTAGAAAAGTCATTGATTCTTAAACATGCTAAATATTTTTTCACTACTGACAGTAATCATATATCTCTTTTACTAGAAATTTTATGATATGCACACACTGATTTCATATAAGCTACATATTCTTAAAAGTCTCATTAAGAAACAAAATTAAGCAAAAAATAATTTTATAGAGTGTATTCGACTGTACTAAAGCAAAATAATTACATTGGTAATGTTAATTGACATTGAAATGACAGGACTGAAAAAGAATAAACAAAGTTGTAGAACAGTATTACTGCTAAAGTTTCAGTTATTAAAAAGAATGCAGAAAAGTCCCTGAAAGTAACTTCAAAATGCCACAAGTGTTGTAAATAGAGACTAGTTTAGACTCAGAAGGACATTCTGTGAACTTAACTTTCCGTGATAGTACAACTTCAAACCATTTTTCATGGCAAAAACAGTAAAGAAAAAGTGTGATTTTAAAGAATGTCATAGTACTTAAGTAGAATATTATTTGTGAATAAAATGAAGGGTTTGCCAAAAAAAAATATCCTTTACATCACAGAATCACAAAATGGTGAGGATGTGAAGATATCTCTGGAGATCATCTAGGCACCCTTTGCATAAGCAGGTTCACTTGGAGCAGTCCTCAATCCAACTCACTGTCCACTCACCTAACTCATGCTTCTTGACCTTACCTATGAGGATATTATGGGAGACAGTGTCAAAAGCCCTTCACAAGTCAAGGTTGAAGACATCTGCTACTCTCCCCAGATATCTATCTCCTTCAGATATCTGAGCTGCTGACACTTTATTTGCAGTAAGTTCAGAGAAGAAAGCAGTTCTAAGACTTTGGCCACTTCTTAATTAATTACTTAAAATTAATCATATTAATTTTACCTACCTCTGCTATGAGGACAGGATACATCACATATAGAGAGATGTCCAAGTTGTGTAAGTTCCCAGTCTACTTTATGAGATGAGCTCCCAAGTAGACTTCACCTCCCAAGTTCTCAAGAGGTGACACTGTTGCCTCATGTAGAAAGTATTCGTGTCATCAATTCAAGCTTGTGGATAGAGTTAGCATCATTATATATTTGAGTAAAAATATTTTTAAACAGGATCATTTAAAAAAAGGTTTTAAAATTATAATCACATGTAATATAAATGACCAGATATTCTGTCAGAACTAAAACACTCTGAGAATTTATTTTCCATTTCATTCTCATCCTTTCTTATTTAAACTTTGAGCAGCTAGTGTATTACTTCCATTATTTAACAAATATTTAACAAACTATTTAACAACCAATTTGTATTCATTCTGGTTGAAAATCACTTTTGAAGACAGGAAGAGTAATCTTCTTACTTTAATTTAATATCTTAGGCCTAGATTCTGAATTCTCCTAGATTCTGGAAAGTGATCCAGTCTACCCAAGTCAGATATGAGCCTTAACCACAAGTATATGAAATACCAAGGAATGTTATTTACTTCAGTCTAAGGTAGAAGTAACTGAGGTAAAACAAAGCAGTGGTTTCAGACAATGCAAATGTGACACTATGTTTCCAGAAGTGTCTGATCCACCAAGACACATTAAACTCTTGCACAGGTCTCTCCACTGTTTCGTCTCATCAGTCTGGGAAAACATGCGGCTGAGAATATGAGAAGAGGAAGAGTAAGCTGAAATTTGGGGCAGAAAAGATAAGAAACACTCCTCAGCAGAGAATTGTTGGTTACCTTTTCCACAATGTTCAGCACAGGTGATGATGACCCCAGTTTCACTCTTCTGAACTCCTGTAACCATCACACAATCATCCACCACAATGACCAGCTCAAAATAAGCAAGTTATAGGCCTGACATTGTCTGGCTGCAGAGGGCTTCCAAGAGATTGAGGTTCTCAGATCTTTATCCAAAACCTGCCTGTATTGTATCTCAGCAGATAGGTAAGGAGGTGACATTCCACCCATTCCCTCAACCTCCAATTAATTTTAGATTTTGCTGTAATTCTTTCCTCCTGCTCTTTCTTTCAACCTGTCTTATTTGCAGTGAGAAAAGCACCTGCTGTGAGTTTAAGCTTGTTCAGGTGGAGGGGGTTAGTCAGTGTTTTTTAGTCAGTGTTTTGCTTACTCAATATATTTTTCATCTTGTGGTTTTCCTATAATCTCTCATGTTCCGAAGCACTGAAAATATAAAAATATTACTTTATTTAGTGCTACTTGACCTTTAGAAATTTAGCCCTTCCTTTTTGACCCTTTCTTATCATGAATCTAGACAGATTTGAACCAGACAAATATTCTACAACAGAGAATCAAAGAATACATAATTAAAGGCTTTGTTTTTAATGTTTACCTGTTTTGATAAAACAATAATAATACATAAGTGCTGTATAACTTTTTAATAAAGTGGTCTTTCAAAAATATTAGGTAAGAACAGGCCCATTTCTGATAACAACTAAAAAAAAGGCAGCATGCAAGGACAAAAAATATCTTCCTAATTATATAAAAAAAAGAAAAAAGAAAAAAAGTGGATTAAAAAGATGTTTCAACTCAAATTTGCAGCAACCCCTTGCAGGTTTAAAAGTAAATCTTTACAAAACACTAAAATGGTTCTCTGGATAAATGAATCTTCTATAATTGCATCTGTGTATTTAGAGGCAGTTTAGGTTTTTTTCTTTTTTATCTAACAATGAATTCCCAGTACATTTTTAATGGACAGAGGTCTTAATGAGACTGAAGTAGATGGGAGACATTTTGCTGAAACAGAGACAACTGCTCAACACCTTTAAGAATCAAGTGTCAAATTAATTTATTTGGTTATTGAGCCTATAATTCTGAAAATAAAAGCTTTATATCTTTATGTGTAGATTATCTCATCACTTTCTCTGACACAGCTGATTATGAAACAGCTTGGAGAGAAAAAGACAACAATTTTCCTTATGTATATTTTTGTGTCTACAATACCAAACATTTCTTGGGCCCCACCAAGCCCAACAGTCAGAGCCAACTTCTGTGTGGCACTGTTATTTTCCTTCTGATTAACTTGTTATAGAGCTCTTGACATTTTTAGTATTTAAAAGAAATAAAATTATATAATACCATCTTAGAAGTTCAGTGTATTTTAGACAAAGTTTGGACAGAACTTTTGCTTCCAGTTACTAATTTAAAATATTTTTCTGCAATTATGTTACTATATTCTCCGCTGTCTCCATTTTGTTATGGTTTGTGCCCAGCATAGCTGCAAGAGATATATACAAGCCTGTATAAATGTTCTCATTATCTTTCACTGCATTTTTATATCCCATAATCCTTCTCCCCCACTTTAACAATTCTTAGCTCATAAAAAAACCAACAAAACAAACCATATAAAAAAACCCAAACAGAAGAAATAAAACAACCCCAAATAAACAAAATATTAAGTTTTCTTTTAAAGAAATTTCAAAAGAAAGGTTCTTGATTTCTTTCTAAATTAATCAACTAAATTTTAGTATTTTTGTAAGGAACATAGAGGGAACTTCACCTAAATGAGGCTCCTGCTTTGGAGCAGTCCCTGAAGGAGTCTCTTTTCCTTTCTATGTGCTTACTGCTTACAGAGCCTGCTGAGAAAAGGCTTCTGTGAATTTTACACCCTTCCTGTTTTCTAGTTAGCCCCTGGCTATAAAGTTGCTGAAAGCCATAAAGAGGATTTCAAAATAAATCATGATTCATGTTCATGGAAAGACCAACAGCTCTAATTTTATGGGACTCCTATTGTTCATACTTCAACATTTTGGGAGACATAAAGAATACAAAGACTTTCTAGTGGAATCTCAGATATATCCAGAGAGAAAGTAAAAATAAAAAATTGTTTTTCAGAGTTTTTCTATTTACTCAGCAGCTATTTAAGGGCTCAAGAATTCCCTATAACTCAAATGTCCTCTGTCCTGTCAGCACCCTCTTCCATGTAGTCCTGTCCCTGACTTCAGTTGTGAGACCCAAGAGCTCAGCCACAGTTCATTCACACCCACTGTCTCCTTTATTTTAAAGAACAAGGTGCCATTAAGTATCTTTAACATGCACTTCTTGGATTCTATTCGGTTACTCTTGTGCAGTTAGCTCCACTCAGTGGGACATGACCAATCCTTCCCTCTTCTTGCCTAGCATGGACATTAGCTCATGTGGTTACCCATTTCAATAAAGCACCTTGGATATATGTCACTAAAGGACACGAAATAATTCACACAAACACTTTCAATGTCAGAACAAAAAAACATCCCTTTATTCTCTGACTCCAGTATTTATAGATTCTTGACAATGACCAGGGATTGGATAATTAAGTTACCACCTTCCCAAGCACACTGGACATGAGAAACGTCCATCAAAAGATGTTTCTTAGAAGGAATGTAATAAACAACTTATGTTTATAGAACTTCCATGGGAAAGTAACTAAAACTATGAAAACATTATCAGAAGGTTTAATTTTCAGGGCAGCAGATATACAAGAGTGCATTCTTCAGGACAAGGTAAAGGGATAAACTATATTTCCTTCTACATGAAGGAAAATTATAAGAAACATCATATTACTTCTATCTTTTTAATTTATAGTATTCTAACAGCCACAGTCAGTATTCATAGTACTGAAGAAGGTTCAAATAACCAACTTTTTTTGTTTATATAGCAGTGTTCTCACTGGTACCTATTTAGTGTAGTTTTTCTGTTGTATTTGAAGGCTCAGATTAGAATTTAGGATATATACTGCACTAAGTAAAGATTAGACAAGAATGTAATGTATAAATTCAACACATAAATATATAGAGATTTTGAAAAGGGCATTTCGTCAATGTATTTAAATGCAATTCTCTTCAATTTGATCACAAAGACATTAATGAACAAACAAGCATGTATCAAGTTCTTATTCAAGTTTAACAAACCACTATTTTGAATAGTCAGGACTTGGTATAAACACAGCTGCAATAGTTTTTGTTTGTCTGTTCCATGAATATAAAAAAGTTCTGTCTTCTAAAGGCACCACTGAAATCCTTACTTTTTCACTGAAAACTCAATGTGCAGAATTTGTTCCTTCAACTTTGTGTTAACATTTGCATGGGAAAAAAAAAAACCACCAAAAATTTAGAAGACAAGGTAGCTTATGGAAAAAAATGCCAAACTATTCAGAATGTGCTTAGAATGTATTTTTAAATTATTAAACTATAGTAATTCAATGATCTTTTGTACACCATGCAGTATACAGAACTGGTTTTCATCAATGAGCCTACTTGGTAATACTGGTGAGGAAGGTAGTGATTCTCCCTGCACCAGACACTGCTCTTTAGAAATTATTTTTCTTCTATTGTTTTTCAAGGTCTTTGACAAGATTTTCTTTTTTATGAGAAATAAATGTATGTTATATCAGTCTATTCCACAATAAAGATCATGGCATTTGTTAAAATTTACATACTATCTGTGTACAGAAGGTAGCCTGAGAAATAAAGATGTGAAATTTGAGCCCAAAAAATTTGGTAGATAAGGATTAGAATCACTTAAGAAAAAATATTACTGTTGAGAAGCATACAGAAAAATTCCATTTTCCACTTTCATGCAAAGCCTAGAGCTTGCTTACACAAAGCCTAGATTTACACTATCATGAATTAAGTTTGAATATTCTTATCTGAAAAATGTTCAGGGGATTTCAAGAAAGATGATTTAAAGAAAAAGGTAAGTACCATTTATAACAATATAATTAGACTATGAAAAATAAGAAAATCTCTCAAACATAATTAAACACTAGTACAGGCATGATTTTAGATAAGCTAATAAAGAAGAAAATATATGCATGTATAATGTGCTGTTATTTATTTATTCTTTCATTTTAGAAAGCTGTTTTGAAATACTATTTCTTTTATTTCTTTCTAATGGGTCTTTTGTTTTTGGCAAAAGCCATGTTTTCCAGATCAGACTATTTTCTAAACATATGAGCTTGTCTTTTAGTGGGCAAGTTGGATGTCAGCTTGGTGATAGCCGCATGCACAATACCTCTGTCACAGATTGTAAGCCTTCCCTTCAGTGTACACTTACAGCTTTCATTCAGATATTCTTGTTACTCAGCCTCTGTCATATAAAAGCACTGAAGCTTTGAATAATTAATCAACTACAAAAAAACAAACCCAAACCAACAACAATAGGAGGCAATCTGCATAGTAACTTAAAGGGTATGATATTAAAAAATAACTTTAAAATAACTTAATTAAATACTTAATAACTATTCTAACAATTGGAGGTCCTTTTATCTTAAGCCTTATCACCAAATTCGGCCTCAGTTCTACATGGTGATTATCTAGTTCAGATTTGGTTGTGTCTGTCTTTTCTTCACCTGACATCTGAGTGTTTTATCTGCTTCTGGCATTCAATTCTGCTCTTTCCCATTTTATTTGCAATTCTCCTATTTTTAGAAGCCAATCATCCTTTTGAACATAACTGTCCAGCCAGTCTATGTGCAGAGTATACAGCAAGCTTCAGAAAATGATTATGGCACAATGTACAATCAGACCTTGAAACCGTGTCAAAGGTAACCTTCAGCCCTTTTGTCCTCAGGCAGAATGCAAGAAATGTCTGATGCTTGTACATACAAAACAGTCAGTTCTGACTAAGAGGATTTGAATGGGATTCCTGGGTTACCAGGAAGAACAAAGATACTTGGTATAAATAGGAGGAATACATGAAAGCAATCAACTTATGGAAATATGACATTTCATATCCCTGCATCAATGGGTCAAAGATTACTGCTTTATGTGGCATAGGAGACAGAATACACCAAGAGGAGCTAATGGATGAAAATATTGGTGAGTTTTTAAATTTTCTTTTCTGTTTTGCACAGCAACTGGTATATCCACACTTTTAACATGGTCTGACTATTACTTTGAAAACACTACATAGAATAAATATATGCAGTGAAATAAATTAGGGTATTGTCAGGCCTACAGCAATGAAGAACTTTCAAGGATGTCTTTTCAT